TTTACTTGTGTTGTGTGTACATCGTGGAGAACTATATCAGACTGGGTGGGTAATCTAAAATTTAGGAAAGCTGAATGATATAAAGTATCAGAATTGACCAAATAACCAGTCTTATGGGTGAGGAGATCATGAAGGCATATCCTGGACTAGAAAATCCCGCCTGCTCACAGCCTCGTCGTTTTGGAGTCACAGCTTGCACTGAAATGGACAGTAAATAGCCCTATGGCCGTGCAGAAAAGCTACTTGCTGTCCAGTTCAATGCAAGCTGGTAATGAACTGCGTTTCATGATCACCTTGTTACACATGAAGAGATAGAATCACAGAGTTAAAGAAACTGGATGAAGATAACACTGCTTATCACCCAAAATTGATGAGCGCCCCACCCATGATTTTATCAATGTAGTATACTCCTCTCCTCTAGGAGAAATCAAAATATTTTCCCCCGTGAAAAAGAATATACAATTAATTTTAAGAGACAAGACACAGAAATATATTAGTCTGATCTGATATCCTTGTTAAGGGTTTAGATAGAATAAGAGTCAAAATTGACAGTTGACAGTATTCAATGGCTCTGAGCTGCCTAGAAAAGGGACCCCCGCCATTATGTTAGAGTGAAATACACAAGCCTGGTAATAAATGACCTTTATCAGATATTTACATACTTCTTGTAAAAAGGGTATGTCAAAAGCGGTGCATGTCATATTCAGGATTTCTGCTCCTATGATATATAAGCTTTCACCATCAAGAAGCTTCAGATAATTTACCTTATTTAGGCAATATCGTTAATCCAGTAATCAGTGTGTCTCAAATAGGAGGTTCAGCTTTCCCAAAATCATGACAAAAGTTTTCTAATCACTGGGGTTACTTTGTGCCATCGATTTTATGTCTTAAGAATGTAAAATATAAGACTTCAGATGCTTTAAAAATTGTTTGCATTTGTATGCAGCAGACTTGCAACTCACAGCTGATGCAAGCAAGGCAACTTAAGCAGTGAAGAAAGAATTAACATGATTGACAAATAGGTCTTGTGATTTAATTTACATTAACAATGATGTAATGTGCATATTGACTTAATGTGTCCTTACATAATGTGGCAAGCAGAACAACACATAGCAAACCTAATTTTGACATTCTTCTGGGAAAAGGACTTTTCCCTCTAAACTTTTCTTTGATTTTTATTTTAACCCTTTTGGAAAGGACTTTTTTTTTTTGTAGGTATGTTTTAAAATATTTTAAATGTATCTTTTTTATTTAATATGTTAACCATGACTTATAATTTGGAATATTAATTATTACAATTTTATATTAGTTACAAAAAAGCTGACTACTAAGGGCAATGCGCTTCCAAACAAAATGTCATCCAGCTACAGTGTGTGTTGCATTTTTGTGTCTGTTCTTTATAATTTACTTTTAGTTTCTCACTCTCCTCCTTTTGCTTGCCAATTGTGGCTTCTTACTAAGCCCTCTTCAATATGCCTGAACTCCTAGAATCTGATTTAGGCCAAGATATGAGATAACTGAGAGTGTTGTAATGATTTAAAATAAGATGTTCAACGCAAAGGATTATCCTTGGAATAATGTGTATGGGATTTAGTGCATTAGCTTTCTGACACTGGTTTTTCAGTGCTGTGGAAGTGTACTTCCTGATTTTCAGCCCCGTTGCTTTGTACTAAAGTAATGATAAAAATATTCCTTAAATACCATAAATTGATGAATTACAAATATTTTGAATATAGAAAGCATAGGGTTTTGGTTTTCGTTTTGGTTTTAATGCTGATTCTTCTATAGCTACCTGTTACTTCTGTTCTTGAAAAATTGTATGCACATACATTTCCTGTATTCTATAACTCTCTTATGTTCTAAAGGGACATTCTACTACTTTACAACTATTTACAACCTACACTGTATCGTGTTTTCCTTTTTTATTTATTTATTTTTTGAGACAGGGTTTCCCTCTATCTCCCATGCTGGAGTGCAGTGACATGACCTCGGCTCACTGCAACCTCTGCTTCCCGGGTTCAAGCAATTCTCCTGCCTCAGCCTCCCTAGCAGCTGGGACTACAGGTGCGCACCACCATGCCCAGCTAATTTTTTTGTATTTTTAGTACAGACAAGGTTTTGCCATGTTGGCCAGGCTGCTCATGAACTCCTGACCTCAGGTAATTTGCCCGCCTGAGCCTCCCAAAGTGCTGGGATTGCAGGCATGAGCCACCATGCCTGGCTTTCTTATTAAATAACTAGATTTTAAAATATGCTACGTCATACCTTTCTTTCTTGATTTGGAGAAAGTAAATCCTTATGTATTCCTTCTCCCTGTTGTGACTGATAGAGAAAATTAGACCAATAACCTTTCAACTTACCTGTTTTTTCCTCATCTTAAAGCCTTGTGAAATAGAACAAATGCTAAGAAACTGATTCAGATGTATGACCAAGTTTGTGAATTACTGTGTTAATTCATTCAGAACTCAAGGCAGCACTCTATTTCATAAATAAGGAAGCTGAGACCCTGAGAGGGTTCAGTAACTATAGTAAGCAGCGTAGCTGATCTTAAACCAGTCTGGCTCCAAAGTTTTATCTTAGAAAAATTGTCTATTATTCAGATGGCAAGCACCAAGCCAAGGTTTGTCTGAATATGCTGACAACAAAGTTTTTGTGTCCAAGAAATCAAAGGGGAGGAAATGTCATTATTTTCTTTAATAAAGTATGGCAATTTAGTATTAATAATATTTACATGTGTAGTGAACATTTATGCCACTTGGGGGCAAGATTTAAAGAAATACAAGCACCTTTGTTACAACATGACATTTTCTCCAACACATTCCAACTGAGAACATTCACACCTTAATCTGACCCGATTCTCTCCTCCAGCACTGGATAGAACCTCATCCTGAGACCTTTTCTCTTAGCATCAGATCAGCCCTTTTCAATCCCAAAGCTCTAACTTTACATTGAGAATCCACAGCAGGATTGACGTTGAATATGCTTGTTGGTACCTTTGGCCATTTAAAAAAATTAATTCCCCTAGTAAGACCTAACTTGAGCCACCTAGTTCTTCTACCTCTGGCTGTATGTGAAATTTTGAGTTCTAGCTCCCAACTGCTTTTGAAAGCAGACAGCAGTCACAGTGATAATACAAAATAAGAGAAGCGCCATGGCTGCATTTCCTTGCTGTCTGCTGCCTATGGCTATGTATGGAAGCTCCACTGGCAGAGGCTAATGGGTTATGCTCATTGCTGTGTGCCCAGCACATTTACTGCTGCCACACACATCCCAGGTGCTCAATAAACATGACTTGATTGAATGAACAAATAAGTGAATGGTTTTCTATTAAAATTTATCAGCCGGATCCCTTACCTCTTCCTTAAGCTGATAGTAGAAATGGACTTACAATTGTTGAATAAACTGCAGACACCTTTAACAACTTCATTAGGAAAAACTCCTAGTATAATAATTGGTTTATATTAGATTATCACATGATTAATCATCTTAGTTTGTACTCTTAGTCATTTCCATGCCCCTGCATACAAATAAACCTTTTTCTTTCAAAGAATGTATGCAAAAACACAAAAAAAGGCTTACATTACAGCCTCTGATATTAGCCATATTGACATGATTTAAGCCCTCCGATAACAGTTAACTAGTTCTGAGATCGAAAGGGCAACGTAACATCTTTGAGTATCACTCTTCCCATTTGCAAAGTGAGGCAATAAATAACTAATCTTTTAGGCTGATGAAAGAGCATGTTACTTTGCTCATGATCTGTAACTAACAAGTAACAGGTAGGGTTCAAATGTGATTCATCTGACTCCATTTTAAGTATTTCAGAATGCTAATACCCTATGACATCATCTAGGAGGGCACCGAGGAAGAGAGTTCCTGAGGCAAGATGGACAAATAGGCATCACTCAGCAAAACTGAATCAGGAAAGAGCTTTCCAGGCTGAGTTTGCCTGCAGTGTCCGTGGTAGGCCAGGCTGAAGGCTATAACCTGACCTCCTTAGCAACATATCAACTCAAATAACCTGCCATGGACCAGTTCATAATTAGAAGTTTCACACATAAAGTGTGAAAAACTAAGAGACGCAAGGTAAAGATGTAGTTTTTCTAATATGAAATAAGAATTTATAGTTAATGGTTGTTATTAGTTGGACATAAAAAAGAACTTTAACGATAAAATTGGAATATTTATTTTACTTTTATTTTTTATTTTTTAGTTTTTTAGAGACAGGCTGGAGTCACCCACGCTGGAGTGCGGTGGTGCCCTCATAGCTTACTGCAGCCTCGAACTCCTGGGCTCGAGGGATCCTCATGCCTTGGCCTCCTCGGTAGCTGGGACTAGAGGTGCACACCACCACAGATGGCTAATTTTTTAAAAAAATTTTGTAGAGATGGGGGTCCCGTTATGTTACCCAGGCTGGTCTTGAACTCCTAGCCTCAAGTGTTCCTCCTGCCTCGGCCTCCCAAAGTGCTGGGATTACAGGTGTGAGCCACCACATCCAGCCAAAATTGGAATCTCTGCTTCTTCAATGGGTTTAGAATATTCCTATTTACAAGGCAAGAAACAATTAGAAGGGGCAGCAGTAATTGCAGCGTCATAGTCACAAAGCAGGAAAGAAACCTCCTCTTGTATACATCATTTTAAAAGGCTTTGAAGGAAAAGCAAACCTAAATCCCCCTTTCGCACTATTTACACTACAGAATATAGTCTGAAATATTTTCATTCAAAAATAATTATTAAATTTAAAAAAAGTTTTTTTGACCAAATTTGGTTTAGTTACTTTGTTAAGTACAAATTGAACGACGCTTTTTATTTAAAATGATGAGAAAATTCAAATAATAGAAGCATAATTTCAAATTGGCTACACTTCCTGTATTTCTATGCTGTATCTATGATTGTCTGTACTACTCCTTCAGTGCCATGTACAGGGTTAAAGGAAAAGAAATGTAGAATAAGCATGGTTGGTTATTATCTTCCCTCTGTTACTTTCTTTTTTCTTGCAGTTCCACCTTTCATACAACCCTTTGAGTTTCCAAGATTCTCCATTGGGCAGCGGGTCTTCATCCCGTGTGTCGTGGTCTCAGGGGACTTACCCATCACCATCACTTGGCAGAAGGATGGCCGGCCAATCCCTGGGAGCCTTGGGGTGACCATTGACAATATTGACTTCACAAGCTCCTTGAGGATTTCCAATCTCTCCCTGATGCACAATGGGAATTACACCTGCATCGCCCGGAATGAGGCCGCCGCCGTGGAGCACCAAAGCCAGTTGATTGTGAGAGGTAAGCAGAGGAACGTGAGCCATGTGGCATCCATAGAGTTGATTTAACAATGGTTTAGGATGATGTGGCTTGAAATATTGTGAAAATAACTAGAACTTTGAAATTCAGTCTTGTTTCACTAAAAAAATACAACTCTGGAACACAGCTATGAATTCCCCTAAACTCCAAGATAAGGCTTTATTTACTTAAAATATGTTTTAAATAATTAATAGCTAAGAAGGTGGGAGCCATAAGGTTTAACTCATGAACTAAGGCTTCCGTATGCTAACCCAATGAGTTTTGAGGACTAACGTTGATGAGCTTTTGCTTTATTGTATTCATATCATATTTTAATAATATTTCTTATTTCAATAAATGGCTTTTTAAAAATATGTGTCAAAGCTATACATCAAAGTTTTTCCAAAGAGCCATAAAATAGCTTTTCATAATGTTTGTTTGAGTTTTAGAAATGTGGTTTTCTTTGCCCATCTATTCTATTTAGCATTAAATATATCATTATTTTGGAAAGCCATTGCAACATTTTAAAATTAAGCAGAGTATGGTCGTATTTATTCAAAAGAATTAAAATAGCATAGGCTAACATTCAGAAAACATTGGCAGTAATCTCATTACATCTAAACTGTAAACATCAGTCTTATTTTGAACTTCTATTCAAGTCACCAAATTCCCATTAAGGCTCACACTCTTCATCTATGAAATAAGCTGCTAGTGTTCTCTAATGTGTATCAAACACAGACATTCTGTGATTTTTAAGATTCTGCAAGAGTACTATACATTAATCTACCATTACAATATTCATCCACATTGCAAAAGTAACTGTATGAAGTTAAAGATTTATATTAACAATGATTATTTGCATTTTAAAATTCCCCAAATTGTGCTCTCAGAGTAGTTGTTAGGAGCGGGAGGATTTCTGTAATTTCCCAGAGAGTGGAGATAGCTCTTTCTTGAACAGGAGATTCTCATGTCCTTCCTCAGTCCTTAGTCCTCGTCCCCTTGATAACTCTTCTGCCTTTCCGACTGGGGAGAAATGCACTTTTTATCTACTTGCCAGCAAAAGGAAGTGACACAGACTTAGAAGTCATAGGAAGAAGCTAACTTTGTATTTCCGGAAAAAAAAAATGCCCCAGGTGAATAATTTAGAAAATATATATTCAATTAGACACAAACTTAACATCCTCATGACATTTTTCTCATTTCCACCTTGCTCTTTGGAGTGGAAGAATTAGGATACTTGATTTTTTCCCCAAAGTTTGAAAGATAAATAAAAAAAGGGAGCCAACGTAGTATCTGTTTCCCGAGTGTTTTCTTATAAGCAGAGTTGACTCTTGGGTTTGTGAAGGGCAAAATAGTACATCAGCCTACTTTCTATGTAATCTGCTCTGAAGGATCCAGGTCAGGAATCTGAAATGTCAGATAAAAAATGTGCAGGGATGCTTTTTGTACCACTTGCCCTTGCAGAAAAGGCAACCAGAAGTTTTTAACCAAGACAAAGGTCAGATGAGCTGAAACTGAGCCTAGCTATTTGGGATAATGTAGCTGATCATGACATGATTAATGTCTCCATGTGGTTGTTCTTCAAATATGTTAAATAAGCTTTAAATTAATATTAAATCACCAGTGAGATAATGCAGCCTAGAGGAAGAAAATGTGCTTCACAAACAGGTCAGTGTGACTGGAGAAACAGACAGGGACAAGGTGGTGTGGGACTGTGGTTCTCAATCCAGACAGTTCTGTAGAATTTCCTGGGAGATTTAAGAAAACACTGATGTGCATTTTTTGGTCCCAAACTACACCAATTAAATCATAATCTTTAGGGGTAAATCCATCTTCCAGATCTCTGGGGAATTGTTCTTTTTTTCCCAAAAATCACTAGTTAGTGATTCTGAAACCTTCTTGTACATTCAGATTGCATAAGAAGCTCTAAAAAGGCCCTGACGTCCAGGATGAAGCTCCCACCAAGTAAAGAACCATCTTTGGAGGTGGAACCCAGGCATCAATAATTTGTAAAATCCACAAGTTTATTCTAATATGTAGCCAAGTCTCAGTCCCAGCCCCCTGAGTCATTAGAACATGCAGCCATTTTAGAAGTGTGGATTTTTTTTTCTAGATTAAAGAGTTGGCACTGTTGACTGTAACCACCACAGCACCCTGGCCTGATTTATCTTTTTAGTTATCACACTAGTAGCTGTCTGAAGAATGGACTGGGCTAGAAAGCAAGAAGAGTAGTTAACAGGCTATTTCAGACTTTCAGGCAAGATAAAAATGCCTTGGATGAAGATGGTAATGTTAAGGTTATGAGAAGCAGTGGAATTCACAATCTATTTTGGTGGTAAAGCAAACAAAACATGCTTGTGGAGTGAATGTTGCAAATGAGATAAAAAAAGAACCTTTAGTGGAATCATGCTTTGCCTAATAACAAGGTGAACGAAAGTGTCTTTAGCAGAAGCAGAGAAGAAATGATGAAGAATGGTTTTGACAAGGGGAATGATGGTCAATGATATGGAAGAAGCACCTGTCCTAGCAGTCACTAGAGCACTCCAACATTTAAGGCCCTGGAATAAGAGGAGGAAGAATCAGCAGAAGAGACGAAGAGGGAAAAGGAGCAGCTTGTAAAGGAGGAGAAAATCTAGTGGACTGTGACACTCTGGAAGCAAAATCGGAACTAAATTGAGAAAGAGGATATTAAACAGTATTGAATCCTGCTGAAAGTAGACAAAGAGGAAAACCAAGAGTTGGTCACTAGTTTAGGAAGATGGATATTGTTTATGACCTTGATGGATATTGTTTATGACCTTGATGGCTATTGTTTATGACCTGGTGTCATTGCAGCAAGGGCCTGATTAGAGGAGCTTCAGAAAAGAAAGAAGGCCAATGTGCAGGAACTCAGAAAACACAACTATTTTTATATTTTTAGGAATTTTGCCATCACAGGAGGCAGTAAAATGGAGACAAAGTTGGAAATGGACATGGGGCAAGGGCAGGAGTTATTTTTAAGACTGGATACTTTACAGCATGCTTATATGCTTATGAGAACGAGCCAGTAGAGAGGAAAAAAATATGTGGCAAGATAAAAAGGAGGTTATTACAGGGTCAAAGTCCTTGAGTTAGTGAATGCAACCAGAATTCTTTGTACCAGTGCAGTAGTATGTTCAAAGTAGTATAATAACCATGGTGTGAAGCTCCAGTAGGTAGCACCAACAGAAATGACTGAAAATTATAGGGAGGAGGAATGTTTTGGGTCAAAGAAGTAGAAAAACAAAAATTATCTAATGGGACCATCACAGAGTAACAGGTAACACATTTATCCTCCTACTGCAAACTAACTATAAATTAGACTGATATGCATAAACAAATTCATGCAGTGAGCTCCAAATTCACCCCAGATGGCTGCTTGGGGTACTTTGTGCACATGACAAGGGAGTGCAGAGCCCAAATAGATCACAGTGATCTTGGCAGGTGGAGAAAACAGAGAGAGACATTGAAAGATACTGAGATGATTACTGGGTATTGAAGGACAAACTACTGGAGATTAGGGAGCTATTCAAAGAAAGATCTCTAGAAATCTGTACAGGGCTCCTTTGCAGTTTCAGCTGAATACTGTTCTTCACATGCAAAGGGTGCTAGCAGAAGTTGCACACTGCTTGGGAATGCTGGAGTTCTAACTAGCCAGAATAGGGGAATTCAGTTGAAATCTCAGAAAGGCCACCCACTAGGAGTAGAACTAATCTAGCCCCAGAATAAGGGTTACTCTAGGCCAGCCCTGAAAAGCCTAAGAAGATTCTTGACAAGATAAAACTTCTCCACTAGTAAGTTAATTGTGTGCACGTACAACATTTGACACTAAAAAGGAAGACAACAAAATCCAGACCCCCAACAGCACAGCATATCCACAATGTACTGCATTCAGTAAACACAGGCACACCTCACTTTATTGCACTTTTCTTTTTCTTTTTTGAGACGGATCTCACTTTGTCACCCAGACTGGAGTGCAATGGGCCGATCTTCACTCACTGCAACATCGGCCTCCTGAGTTCAAGCAATTCTCCTGCCTCAGCTTCCTGAATAGCTGGGATTACAGGCATGTGCCACCACGCCCAGCTAATTTTTGTATTTTTAGTAGAGATAAGGTTTCACCATATTGGCCAGGCTGGTCTTGAACTCCTGGCCTCAGGTGATGCACTCCATTCGACCTCTGAAAGTGCTGAGATTACAGGAGTGAGCCACCATGCCTGGCCACATTTTGCCTTATTGCGCTTCCCAGATACTGCATTTTTTATAAATTGAAGGTTCGTGGCAATCCTGCATCGAGCAAGTCTTTGGGGACCATTTGTTCCAACAGTATGTGCTCACTTCGTGTCTGTATGTCACATTTTGGTAATTCTTACCACATTTCAAACTTTTATTATTGTTATGTCTGTTATGGTGATTAGTAATCAGTAATCCCTAATGTTACTGTTACAATGTTACTATTATAATTGTTTAGTAGCCATATGAGATGGCAAACAATCAATAAATGTTGGGTGTGTTCTGACCACTCTACCAGCCAACCATTTCCCAGTCTCCATTTCTTAACTTCCCTATTTCCTAAGACATAACAATATTGAAATGAAATGGTCTCCAGTGTTAGAGTGAAAGGGAGAGTCATTACACATCTCTCACTTTAAATCAAAAGCTAGAAATGATTACATTCGGTGAGGAAGGCATTTGAAAGCCAAGATAGGCTGAAAGCTAGGCTTCCTATGCCAAACTGTTAGTCACATTGTAAACACAAAGGAAAAGTTCTTGAAGGAAATGAAAAATGCTACTCCCGTGAACACACAAATGGTAAAGTGAAACAGCCTCATTGCTAATATGGAGAACGTTTAAATGGTGTGGAAGATAAAATACAGACCAGCCACCACATTCCCTTAAGTTAAAGCTTGATCCAGGGCAAGGCCCTAACTCTCTTCTTTTCTATAAAGGCTGAGTGATGTGAGGAAGCTGCAGAAGAAAAGTTT